GGTAATAATGTAATATGTCACATTGTGGAAGTAAGGAAGAGTATTTTCCAGATGTTAAGATAGAGACAAAAAAAGTAAAACTCTTCGCAATCTTGAGCTACTTTAAGTGTGACTGGTCTTTTAAGAAAGGACAAAAATGTGGATGAACAAAAGAAGAGTATTAAAGGTGAAAATGATCATGCAGAGGTTAATCGTGCTAGTGAAATATCTTTGGCTATTGTTTGATCAAAAGTTCTGCCCTGTTTAAAACTTCTAACCAGCAAAACACACCCCGAGGCGCAAATAGCAGTGATTTATCACGTAGGCGTCAAATGGGAAAAAAATAATGAAAATAAAAGCTGCACACTCTCTAGTACAACCATTACCGACAAAAGGCCTGTGTTTACCATTCACAAACAACAAAAAGAGAGCCGTGCTGTGGCGAAGTTGTTAGCTTATCCGCATGAACACCGATAGCTACAGTTTAAAACGCCGGGTTACTAAATTAAAGTCTACGTTAAATACGCCGAAAAAGACAAAAGAAGAGCAGGCCAACACGCGTGTATCGAACCGCTGGCTTACCTGAAAGTATCAGCTGTGATAATGTGCCTGTGCTCTCGGTTTCAGCCGCTTGCTGCTGTGGTTTCTTTCTTTCTCTGTTTGAATTTGGCGGTGGACCGCTGCCTGCACGCAGACACTCATCACCACGCCCTTCACGCAAACACTCCGGAGCGACGTGACGCGTTACGTACGTCTCTGCGTGCAGGCGTGAGAGACTGAAACGTGCGTGAAAGATTGAATTGGTGCTTTTAAGAATATAGGATTTATCAGCAATTCATTTGGTACTTCGATAATAAAATGTTAACCTCAACTAAGCAACAGAAGTATTTCAAAAAATCATACATTTAATTTATCCAACCCAGCAATTCATCCATCTGTGGGTTTTTTTTGTGAAATAAGGCCTAGGCCTTTTTCACGTCAGACATATTTTACTACTTAATAATGGCTCTGTTATATTCAAATGTCCCAGTGAGCCATGACAGTGTGACAGTGAGCCAGCATGCACAATACCAGGGCCCTGAAACTGAAGCAGCTTAATGGAATTAATTCTTTTCTTTTCCTACATTGACCTGAACAAAAAAAAAGTCCTCAGTGAAAAGGGCACAGAAATTATATGGGTTTATTTTATGAATGGATCGTTCTATGTGTGACCCTTTTTTTGGATTGCTGTGCAGATTTAGGAAAAAAGAAGCTGAGAGAAGCCACAATTCTGTGTTAAATCTTCCTATTTTGAATGCCAAATTTTATATCCATAAATGTAAATGGTCACAGAAGACCAACATATATCAGTTCAACACTGAGGTGAGACATTACTTTAAAGCATTATATGGACAAATAAACAGAAAGCCATCAAGACTATGGTAATCTACAATACCTGTTTCGGTTTCTTTGTATATGTTACTAATTTGTTCGTGTTTATCCTTCTTATTTTTATATAACTTTGTATGAATACTGTAAGCAAAACAAAATGTTGATTCCTTATAATGTAATTGGTTAGTTGTATTGTCATGTCAACTTTAATCTATTCTATATTGACTGTTGAAGAATTACATTCCTCTTTGTTTGCCGATTTATTGCATACATTTCTGTAATAAAACAGATAAAGGTTTCTGCACATTACATTTATCATCATCACCAACATACTAGTCATAATTTTCTTGTACAGTTTCATACATGCTAATGTAGATTATACTCATACCAGTGAAACTCATATATACCACTTACAGTATATATGCAATCCAGGACAACAGTCCAGTAATAAATCTTATCTTTGTGAGGTTTATAATGTTGTTTTTATTGACTTGGCATGAGATAGATTAGGTTGATTCAGCTTGATAAGTTTTGACACCAGTAGGTAATAGTGTTGTACTACATTATTTCATATGTGAGAGGTGTTTCAAATATTTTGTCCACCCCATTTACACACATAAGGAAGACAGAAAATGGTCTTAATTCAATGCCGTTAACAAAGCCTTCATGTCATGCTGTCAGTATTTTCTTGAATTATATAATGATATGTGGGATTGGGGTATAATTTAATTTATATGCATGTTTTTATTGAGACAGCCTATTTCATTGTGCCAGCTGAGTGAAAAGGGCACTGGCTTCTTTCACCTGTTAGGTCATCATATTATTTTCTTCTCCAAAAGTATCTGTAGTTATCGACAAAATATCACCACGTTATATTGATATATAATATATTGTATATATTGATGTATATATTGATGTATTTGGTCAAGAACATTGTAGGCCCACGAGCGTGCTGGTTGTGCTCATCTGGAAAACGGGACTTTATTTTTATGTTTGTTGTTTTATGTGGTCAGCAGTCTTAACTTTAACATTAATGCTTCCTCCGTTCAAATATAGATATATAAATACCTGGACAGAAGTTAAATTAAGTAAGTACCATACTCTGTCCTGTTGCAACCGATTAACATAAAGACAACAAGGAAAAGTGACTAAAAACTGATGCTAATTTGTCATACACAGTGAGGCATATCTTTTTCTCACATCTATTATGTTTCTTTATTTTCACATTCACACAAACATGTTATTATTATGGATATGGAAGGTTTTAAAGTGGCCAGCAGATGTCCCCACAGACCTGCATGTGAAATGCATTCAATCCACAATGCTTTGAGATCTTTGTCATGACAACCTCTCGTCTTATTCTCTAATGATTAAACAAATGAATTAACAAGCCTCCACTTTGCACTTTAACTTTTTATCCATGTGTTCTTCTATTGTGTTGTAAAACTATTTGTGATGAACCATATTCTAATTTTGACATATTATAAGCATGTTATTGATACTTTGTAGTTCAGAGAGGTTCTTGTATCTTCTCAGCACTCGTTAAAACATGGGTTTTGTAACTGATACTGTCCCTTTGAGAATTTCCCAATAAAGATGACTTGATATTTACTGACTTGTGGAAACAACCGTAACTGTCTGGCACAAAAAAGGACCAAATGAATTCTTGACAAGAGTTTCAAAAAAGCATGCATAACCAAGCAGCTTCTTTCACAATAAAAGCCTTCACTCAGCTTGTCTTTGTACATGTGCTGCACGTATCTCATACCTGTGAATTCTTGTCAAACGTGCTACCATCCTCGTTTTAATTGCACTGTTTTATGTGATCCGGTTAAGTGTTTCTTTATTGGTAAGAACACTAAGATCTAGACCTTGACCCTAATGACATCGCAGTCCTTTTGTCTCAATAAGAGTAAATGTATAACATTTTAACAAGCCTTGATTGTATTGTTGAGTCAGGAGTTAAAGTTCAGTGCAAATGTGGAAAAACTACAGACCAGTGTGGTGAGGAAACCGAAGCATATTTATTGCAAAGATAGAATTTTGCATCACACTATGAAAAATAACACGTTTTAGGATGATCTCAAGGTCACATGGCAACTTCCCAGATCCTCCTGCCATAATCAACAGCTAATACAGTAGACAGGATGCTACATTTTGTCAGATTTTAAAGACTATTTTAGGAAATATGCTTATTTGCCTTATTGCTAAAAGTTAGATGGGAAGACTCTAATGTCTGTACGGTAAATATAAAGCTGGCAGCTAGATGCTGCTTAGCTTAGCATAGCCAAAGACTGGAAACAGAGGGAAGCTGTTAGCCTGGGTTTGTCTAAAGGTAACGAAATCAATCCCCCAACCACTACAGCTAAATAATTAACACTTTATATTCTTTGTTTAATCAATACATAATCCTGCACATTGTGGTTTTACGGAGGGGTTACCTTTGGGCACGGCCAGGCTAGCTGTTTCCCTTTGTCTTTGTGTTATGCTAAGCTAAGCTAACCAGCTGGCTCTACTATAGCTTCATATTTCACAGACAGATATGAGAGTGGTATTGGTCTTTGAACTCTTGTTTCCCAAAATGTCAAACCATTTTAATAATTGTCAAACGTTAATGGGTAACGGCAGTCTCATGCACACAAAACAAAACAAAACAAAAGGGGTGATGTCTTCATGGTCTCATGGCGAAGACCGGTTATTTTAGGCACAACCTACTTGCAGCACTGTGAAAAGAGGAATACAGCATTAGGAGGTTCAGTTTGTAGTGTGTCAAGGGTCAGTCTTTGTGCTGTAGGCTGTGTGTGTTTCGCGTGTTGTTACCTTTGTAATTTTCTCCCAGCGTGAAAAAACGGCAAGAAGCGCCGTAAGGCACACCACCACCAGGCCTGCTATCATGGGCATCATTGGGAACTTCATGGTCCTTTCTACAAATGTGGAGGAAGAAGATGATTAAAACACCTTTTCTAACACTGTTGAGAGAGCATTAAAATATTTAAACTATTCAACACCAAGATGTGGCTTCAGAAGAATTGTGTGAACTGACCTGTTAATGTGACATAGAAGACCTTGGTGTGTATTCCGTAGATGGGCGAGTCCGCCAAACACTCATACGTGCCTTCATGCAAGCTTTTCTCTATGTTGTTGCTGGATAGCCGGCTTGTAAAGCCATCGTTGGTCACTGTGAAGCCACCTGCTTCTAGATCCACTTTGCTTCCATTTAGTGTCCAAGACACGGATGAGACTGGCGGATTGGCCCAGATATCACACTGCAGGAGCAGCTCTGCCTCTTCTTCTACTATAACCTGCTCTGACCCAGAGAGCTGTGGGCGATCTGAAAGGGAACATCACAAAGGACATATTAATGCAACACAACTGAAACAACCAATTTTTTGTTTTTTCAAATAGTTCCAAAGATTTCATTTAAATAAGAGTGCAGCTATTTCTGAGTTGTCATTTGTATGTTAACCTTACGGCATGCCTCTAGCTGGCAATGTAAGCCTGAAAATTATCAACAACTAGCCTTATTAGGTGGATTGCTATGAGATTTTGTGCAGACATTCATGGTTCCCATACAAATTTATTCTAATGACCTTTAATTGGAATAAACAATGCTAAGATGGAGAACATGGTAAACTTTATATTGTTAAACATCAGAATGTTACCTGACGTTAGCATTTAGGGAATTTAGCCCACAGCTCTGCTGTGTCTATAAGCGCAGCCTCACAAAGCTGTCTACAGCCACCCTCACAGCTCTGTAAAGCTGTGCTTAGGCTGTGCCAACATCAGCATGCTAACATGCTCACAGTGACAATGCTAACATGCTGATATATAGTAGGTAAGGCTCACATGGCTCAAAAAGTGATTTAAATTGAGGGACATGAATGTCTCCTCTGATAACTTTGAGAGAATTTGGAAATCATTTACGGAATACACTGAAGCTAACCTTTAACCCCCTTGCTCTCCTGAATGTAACCCCAAAATGTAGTAATTCACATTTAGTTATTATCTTGTGTCTGTCTCTGCCTTTGTAGCCCACAGCGAGATAAGCCCGTTGTGTGGCTGTTCTGTATGTCCTAAAATAAAAAGATTTTACTCAAACGTCAACCTGGCACCAGAGGGAAGGTCACAGGATCACCTGCCCAACATTACCATCCCTAGTAAACCTAAAAGCTATATATCAGATATTAGTTAGGCCTACTAGCATTATAGCCATTATTGTCATCATTCAAATAAAGGTTGGATTATTTGAATTGACTCACATGTGACATTCAGGGTGACCGAGGCGCTAACTGTGACATTTTTGCTTAGGTGGCAGGTGAACATGGCACCATTCTCTTCATAGATGATGGGTGTAACACACACGCTGCTGCGACCCTTCTTATTTCCTTCCTTCAGATTGACGACAGCACCATTCCTCAGCCAGACCAACTCTTCATCAGCCTGAAGCTCATAGCTGCTGTCAGGCTGACAAACCAGAGACACAGTCTGCTCTACCTCTGTGTGTATAACACCATCACTGCTGACCTCTGGGACAGACTGGATCTTGACACCTTAGGAAAGGGACAGAAAGATGAATGGCTGAGTGAAGCAGTGAAAGCTTAGATTGAACAAAAGTGGAAAGAGAAAAGTAGTCTTAAAAGTGAGGGGTAGGTCAGTTCAGTTCTTGGTGGGCAGATGCACTTACCTAATGCCTGAGTTGCACAGTATAGGAGCAAGTGGAGGAGAGGAGGTCTGAACATCAACTTCATTTTTCTCTTTCTTGGATAAATCTGAAGGTAAAGGGGGAAAATGACAAAAAGCATTCATACAGAGTTTATTTAAAATTCTCCTTTAATCTAAATTCACCAAAACTTCTGCACTGCAAGAGAAAAATGAAGCTGTAGCCCCAGACAAGTGGCTGGGGCAGACGCATGTCTGGCTTGCACAAGTTAAAGCTTATTTATATGCTTTTTCATACTGCCTTATGTTTCTTAATGCTGTTTATGTAAAGCACTTTGAATTGCCTCTGTGTCCGAAGGTGCTGTACAAATAAAGCTGCTCATTACAATAAACCCAGGGCTGCGGAGCATTTTACTGTGTGATTCATCAGGTCGGAAAAAGGAACAGAGCTTCTTCTAGAGCCAAACCTTCAGAGACAGACAGGGAGAGCTGATGAT